TTTACTTAGCTTTTTATTTATCTTTCCACTTTGCTACCCATATTAAAATATTTTTTTATTTTAGCACTTTTTTTTCAAATTTAAATTTCAAACAGTTGGTAGCCCTAACAGTAAGAGTTATTATCTTGATACTCAAAGAAACTTTCCCTTTAAAAGATCGCTGCTATCGTTGCTTGTGTGGCACGCAGCGCCGTCTTGTTGAAAGTAAACGTTATCCAGATCAGTAGCATTCAAATTCGGTAATTAAGAATCATTAATCATCTCTCGATAGCACAATCCATTCACGGTAAATGTTGTTTGTTTGTCATTTTCGAAAAAAAGGTCCAATCACCGCGGCGGATTATAATCGGTTGAGGATGTAGATCCTTTTCAACAATAAATCTTGTGTTTTCCGGGTTCCAGGAGCATCAGTTATGCTTAATTTCTTAGCCATCGAGGTGGAAAAGAGCCTAATCAGTCAAGATGATTTTTCGATGACATTTTGTATCATTTTCATGCTTGAACCAATCAGCAAAGACACGACCTTGTTGATAATGGACCGCCTTGAGCTCTTGTGTTAACTGAAATTCATAAGCCTTAAGACCCAAATCTTTATGCAATGCCGTTTGTAAAATGTCCAGTTCCAAAGAACGAGGACTGTAACGGCTCTTGTGGTCACTTCATGTAAATTAGCTTCTGAAAGAATTTGAAGGCAGAACATTCAATCTCTGCTGAGGAGTAATCTATACTATTAAAGGCAAAAGCTCCCAGCTATAATTACCAATGGGATGGCTAACTTAGAAGAAAAAGTCGCTAAAACAGATACGGTACTCTTTACAGAGCGGTACAAGATCCTGGCATGGAAGTATTTAAGGCTCATCGAGGTTAAATTAAAGAGCACACACTGAGGTGGCAATTAAATGTGGAAGCGACGGTGGAAAAGTGCGGTGGTGCTCTCTACGCATGTACAAGGGGTCTAGGTTTTACATGGGACCTATAGACTGTCCTTAGACATTGGTGATACACAGTCAAGTCGTAGTCAAGCCAATCTTGCTCTGCGGCGCTCTGATGTGGTGGACGTCTTCCACCAAAATCACATGCCACTAAATCACTGAGGCGAACACAGCGAGGTGGAATACCTTAACGTCAAGGCGGATGCGAAGATAATGTTCAAAAGAACGAGGGAAAACACGCGGGTTAGGGGCGGTAAGTCATGCCTGTCGTAAGAAGCGTTTGAAATCCAATAGTTCCCGCGACAGTCGACTTTTTATATCGGGATCACACGGATTTTTATTCGGCCAAGGACTGCCACTCCCGCAACATTCACCAGAAAGTACTTTGGGGAATATTTTTGCTGTTACAACAAAAACAACACGTGTATTCTTTGCTTACTATCGGTTGGTTTCGAAATGTAGCAGAACTGTTGTTGGCCTAATTACAAGTCAAAATCAATGCCACAGCTCGCGGATCGAATGGGCATCAGTAACGAGGACACATGTAGCAAGCGCAAGGCATGATGAGAGTTTGCATCTACACCTCTGGTTCTTATGGGTATTATCAAGCACTCGTCTTCTACATCTAGATGCTACGCTGTTCAGCGACTAGATGGGGCATTAGATATCAACACTTTCTTTCGACTACTTCAACTCAAAATAAATCAAGCCTCCATCTGGCATTAGCAAGTCTACATATATAGTATATGGCGTGTCAGTCAGCCAGTTTAACCTAACCTATTCAAACCGTCCGGCCATTCAAACTATACAAACGCTCTCTGTCTCTACAATTGGCGGACACTAAAATTGTTTTTTTTTTTTGGAGCTATAAGTAGAAGCTATTAAGTAAGATTTAAATCTAGAAAACCGTCTCCTTTATGTGACATTTTTATGCGAAATTCTTTCCTTAAAAGTTCTTCCAAAGAAATTCTACAACAAAAGCACTACAGACTCGCTCTTCTGGAGCATGAAATCGAGCGGCAAAATCTTACAAACAGAAAAGTTAAAAAAAAAAAAAGGTCCAACAAAAAATATGATCTCCAAGCAACAGTTCGCGCAGTTTGAACACCAAACAGCACAGCGTAAAGTCAGCGACAACTTGAAAGTTTGCATAAACCGCTGACGGGTATTTGAACTTTGAATAACAGCTCAACTCAATTCAGCCGAAGTCAATGAGCGCAGGAAATTACACATTTTTGTTCGACCATTACTACCAGAAGCGACGGTGGATATGCGGTAAAGCGAGTGGAAGGAAGTTGAAAATGAAAACGATAAAATTGAATTTTAAGCAGCGGCGCGACTAAAGAGCGTAAACGGAATAAAAGGAAATCGGTCAGCGAGGAAGTAAACTTTATATGCGCGAAATTTCAATACAGTTTTCAAAGGAAAGTATTTATTTGTGAATGTGCTGTGATATACTTTACAGTTGTATGTTTTGCTTTGGTTGATTTTCGGATAAGAAATGCAAATGAAGCATAGAGACAGGAGTTAACGCAAATACATACAAACAAATGTACATATGTACAATTGGCGCTTTATAACCGCTGAGGCCGAGCTCCTCCTAAATTTTGTGGTTTTGCATTTTGATGTTTTCCAACAAACGGAGTGATCTATGGTTTATGCCAAGACGTCTCCGAAGAGCTTTTGATTTTTATGAGAGGCTTTTTATTTCATGTTTGGAGGCCTTGAATTTTACTGCCGAAATGTGACCGCAATTAGAACATAAAGGAAGTGATATCTTTATACTTTTCAAATGGAAAATTCGAAATTAGGTGTTCTAGATGTTTTCTTGTCCGATTTTTTACCGAAAACTTAGACTGGTTGTATGGAAGATATATGACGTAGTTCTCCGAGTTCTGTAACAATTCTTACTTTTAGATACGAATATAAAATACAAAATTTAATGCTTTCTTAACGGCTTTTTGACCCCAAATCTCGCATTTGAACAAAACGGTTGTATTAGAACTATGTATATGATGTAGTCCCCAATTTCGATGATTTTCAATGATAAAGGTTACTTGTAGAGTATAAAATTTCATGCTTTCAAATATATTTATGACAGATTTATGATCCACAACCTCAAATCTAAAAAAATCGGTCGTATACCTGTATGCTATGGAGCGCTGATCTGTCTGAAACCGACAAACCGTTGAAATATGTCACAAAAACTGCGGGACGAGTTTGCGTTCCAACAGACGGATTCACGAACAGACAGCCAAACAATGGCCAAATCAACTTAACTTGCCATTTTGATCATATCAGCTTAAATTTTGATGGATCTATCTCATCTCCTTCTAGTGCTTCCTTACTTTGGGCCAAAGCTAACATAGAATTTCATGTAAACATGTCAAGATATACAACATAACTTTAGTTTTCCATAATTTTGGATGTTGGTGGGAGTAGGACTCGAATGCTGCCCACTCGCATGGTGGAGCACACTGTTAACCACAGACTATTGCGCCCTTCGTGCATATATAAAGGGTGATTTTTTAGCTGTTAACTTTTTGGCAACACTGGCTTAAACAGCTGACGCACACTTCGTGTTTTGTATCGCTGTCAAACATCTTCAGTTTGGCCTATAATTTAACCCTGAATCGTCTTACAAACGAACAACGCTTGCAAATTATGGAATTTTATTATCAAAATTCGTGCTTTGTTAAGAAAGTTCAGTTTTATGGTCAGTTTAATCGACCCACTGATGCGGCTATTGGGGCTATTGTGACTAAATTTCGCACCAAATTTGACCATTAAACCACCAAGACGCTTACGTAGAGTGCGAACTGAAGAAAATATCGCAGCTCTAACGGACAGTGTTAATGATGACCATAAATTATCGATTCGTCGCCGTTCGCAGCAATTGGGCTTCTGTTACTCAACAACGTGGAAAACTTTGCGGAAGGATTTAAATGTGAAGCCTTTCAAAATACAGTTGGTCCAAGACCTGAAGCCGAACGACCTTTCGCAACGCAGAATTTTTGGTGAATGGGCTCTTGGAATTTTGGCCGAAGATCCACTTTGTTTTTTCGAAAATTTGTGTTCAGCGGCGAAGCTCATTTTTGGCTTAATGGGTGCGGAAATAAGCGGAATTGCCGATTTTGGAGTGAAGATCAGCCAGAAGCGTTGCAAGAGCGGTGCGGTTTATGGGCTGGTGGTATCATTGGACGACCAAAGATGATGCGATTCGTAACGAAACTGCGAATGGTGAGTGCTACCGTGAGATGATATCAAACTTTTTTTGCCCAAAATGCAAGAGCTTGACTTGCATGACATGTGGCTGCTACAAGACGGTGCCACAAGCCACACAGTACGCGTAACAATGGACTTATTGAGAGGCGAGTTCAGTGAATATTTTATTTCACGTTTGGGACCGGGCAATTGGCCGTTTAGATCGTGCGATTTAACGCCTTTAGGCTATTTTTTGTGGGGATATGTTAAATCTAATGTCTATACAGACAAGTCCGCATCGATTGACACATTGGAGGACAACATTGAAGCATTTATTCGTGAGATACCGGCCGAAATGTTGGAAAGAGAATGCCGAAATTGGACTAAGCGGATGGACCTTTTGAGGCGCAATCACTGTTAACATTTGCATGAACTAATCTTCAAACATCATTAAATTATATGGACCGTACTATCGATTCAAATAAATATTTCAGGCATTTTTCTGCATTTTATGTGTTTCTTTTTTGAAAAGCTTTCCTATAGCTCTTAAGCAATCACCCTTTGCAAGCATACAAACCTCTAGTCGCATACGTTCTATGCAGTAATCTGATATCCTTCAAGCGCCCTTTCCACCCCAACCAATGCACCAAAGCTCTCACTTTGTTTGAACCTACTTTTTGCTCGCATAACTTTCTAGACGATTTGCCCATGGGAAATCATTATGGCAATTCGTTATGTGTTCAATGTGCGCTTATGAGCTTGAGCCAGTAATGTTCACTTGAGTGTTGGAGGATTTTGCTTGGGAAAAGCAAAAATTTATCGAAAAACAAACGAGTTGATTTTGCTTTTTTTTCCTCGTCTTACCTGCTTTTCTTCTTCTTTAACTTCTTGCAATTTTCCCTCCTAGCTTTCGCTATTAGCTACAACCTGTGCCGTTATTCTTTGCTGTTTTCCCTTGCATTCGTATTGTTGTTATACCTGCTGTTGCTAGTAGATTTGACGTATTGTTGCTGTTTTATCAAGTTTAGTTTTTTTTCTTGTTCTACTCGCTTCTAGTTAGTCGTTGTAGTTGTTGTAGATGCCGTCGTTGTACGATTGTTGCGTTGCTATGTTTTTTGTGGTTGTTGTTGTTGTTTGTATTGTTGTACTTTTTCTATTTTTTTTTATTTGTTTTTATTGCAGTTTTCTGTTACACGCTAGTGGGTATTGGAAGGACTGTTGTTTTTAATTTTGTTTCCTTGATTTTATTCTCCTTTTCTTGTTTCTCTATTAAGCTTTATTTTGTTATTGTTTTTGTGTGTTTGGCTGCTACTGTAGTCATGCCTTCATGTCCTACTTGTGTCGGTTGTTGTTTCTATTTTTGCTGTAGTTGTGCTGAAATGGATCAAGAGATTTGATATCGTTAAGGAATTTGTCATTCACAGTGGATTTGTATTGGTGGAAAATAAATAAAAGAGAAGAGAAAATAAAAAGAGCTGCTGTACACTGGATTATCACCAAGTTAAAATTGGATTGCAGTAGAGCAAAAAAACAAACACACACACACACACAAATAAGAGAATAAATAATAGTTCGAGGACGACGGAGAGAGTTCTTTGGAAAATACCTTAGGGTGGGTTTTAGCGAGCTTCAGGTTAGAGTGGGTATGGGATTTAAGGCTAGATTATACTGACCGACCTATTAAATCCTTCATAGACAACCAGGTCCGTATGGTTATTACTAAGAACTTTGAACTGGAAAGCAAAAAATTTTCTTGCATCTGGCAGTGAGCTAGAATCAACACGACTCATCCTGCCCTTACCGGTTTTTGCATCAAGGTTCGACACAAATTCCTCTACCACGCTAAGTTTATTACAGGCCATACGATAAAAAAGTTTAATAAAGCAATTCACTTAAGCAAATAAATTGGAGACTGTATTTTCTCACAGTTCTGGCGAAGATACCTGCCTATCCCACCTTGGCGTTAATGGCCCAAAGCGAAATTTTTACACTCTACACATAAAAGGCATCCTCCTACACTTCCGTCGGAACGTAGGCGGGAATTAGTAATAAGTTGAGGGGCTTCGGTTTGATGCGGATTGTGGTGATACTTTCAACCAACTGGATGAATGCCAGCATTCGGTGAAGAAGTCTCTCTACCACCGAGATGCTAACACACAATTAGCGCTCCTACATATGACCGTTGTCACGGGAAAACTACTTGACCAGTTAATTGCATTCCTTTAGCGTTGGAGTTGTGAGCTTTTAGTCTTACGTGTACAACAACCAGCTGGGTAGAGCAAACTTCCAAATCAGGGGTCGGACGTTCCAGTTACATGCACTGAAGCTGTAGTCCTCAAAACGTTTGCAGCGGTCCCCATCAAAAGTGGGGTCTCTCATCTAAGGCGTTGCTTCAAGACCGTCACCCTCGCGCACTCGTGTCTTTGTGAACAGATGCTGATAATTAGACTTCAGTGAACCCAGAACGGTATCAGGCTCTTCATTTATTCGGGTATCAATAACATTATTTTAAGAAGGAAAACTAACAGACATGTATTTCGGTACAAAGCTTCTTCAAAAAAAGTGAGATTAAATTTTTAATTTTTTGACCAGTCGGTATTTTCTCATACTACCCATCCCAGTTGTTTTTTCATTAGCTTAAGTTAGTTTGAAGTTACTATCGTTGTGTAAGTATCAATATACTTAGGCCAGTGAGGGCCCATTTTGATACCACGGATTTAACCCGATCACTTAACTTCACTATCCATACACTTCGATGCTTTGTAAAGTTCACTGCAATATATTGGCTGATGGTGATGCTGATTGCAGCTTCTAGATAACTGAATCTAACTCGGCACTAGATGGTTCAGTCACATAGAAGATGAGAGACCGCTTTTAGTTCCTTATCGACCTTACAGCCTCTGCAACATCTTCCGAACGGATCTCTCAGCTTTGTTGCATGCCGTCTTATCAAGCAGTGACCTGTTAAGACTTCTACAAACTCAGAGATATGATATGAAATTTTATCTTTCTAGGATTGCTGAGTGTCTAAATTGTTGATTATTCCATTGATCTAGTCTTCAAATCTCGCTTTTTAAACATATCAATTTCAACATTGCCCGCTCTAACTATGTCCTCATTGCTCTTAAAGACCTTTCCTTTTAATTTTATTTTCATTTTTGGAAATAACCAGAAATCATAAGGTGCTATATCCGGGGAATATGCTGCTGGACGTATTTCTTCGAGCCCAAACATCGCAATAAAATTACTCCGTATTTTAGCAGTGTGGGATGGCGCGTTGTCTTGATGTGAAACGTAGCGCCCCAAATTCTCTTTCTACCTGTTTTCCGACAAATTTTTTAAAACTTTTGATATGCAGTACTCGGTGTACCATTCTGCAGTTACCGTCTGATCCTTTTCCAGTGTAAAAGCAGCTACGGTTTTAGATAGGGTGAAGTGAACTGTCATCATTACTTTTGCTGCTGATTTTGGTTGCTTAGATTTTACGTGTGGGTTTACTCCTGCTGGGCTCCATACCACGGATTGCTGCTAGGTTTCTGGATCGTAGTTATATAACCAAGATTCGTCACCATTTAGAACTTTACTAAAGTTGATAGACTGACCATTTTCGAATTTGTTTAGGAAAATTTGAGCAAAATACACGCGAGCCTCTTTTTGGACCTCGTTTAAAATTTTCGGTACCCATTGAGCAAATTTCTTCGTGTACCCCAGAAGAGTACTTAATATTTGCGCTAGAGCCATGACATTCAAGCCTAATTCTTTAGCAATCATTTCTTGTGTCAATCGTTCGCTTTCGCTAGTTTTGGACTTAATCAGAGCTACAGTGACGTCATCAGTGGAAAATTTTGGTTGACCTTCACGATACTCGTCTTCAACGAACAAATGTAAGGTCTGAAATCTTCGGAATGACTTAGAAGTAGTCTTTAGAGACGGTGCAATCGTTCCATATGCAATTTGGCATTCACTGAGAATTTTTATTGGCTGCAAATTACGCCGCAACCTTAAGGGAGTAACATAGCAAATTTCTGTTTGGGTTGGCAATGGAATTACCTTTGACCTGAGTCTCGATTATAGTCGATAGTTCTAAAATTTCATAGGAAGACTAATAAAACAAGTGTTAAGGTTTTGGTATTTTTAGATTTAATAAAAACAATTCCAAAGTCACCAGCAGACCGAACTTTAGTTAATCCCCTCGTATATACATTTCGATTGTGAATTTACTACTTCTTGTGCACTAATTAGTCCTTTATTGCTTACGTAAACAAACATGTGGAAATCTATCGAGTAGTAATTATGGCAGTTCTTCTGAAGCAATCGTGGTAATTAGCAAAACTACATCGAAAACTCAAGTACAAGCAAGCACTGATGGAAGTGTGTTGACATCTGAAACCACGGTGTCATGGCACAATCGATTTCACAATATTAATTCAGAGAACGAGTGTAATTGAGCTGAGGACTTGTTGATTTCCACTACAATGCTATTATTTGATGAGTTGTTACAAATGTAAGAAGGGGGGGTGAGGCACCCAGGTTTAGTAGTTCTGGGTTTTTTATCTGTTTATTAATTTGAAAACAATTTCAAAATGCAAATCTTTGCAAAATTGCCTTCAAAATCATGAAGAAATAGGTAATAGGTAAAGCACGAAAATGTGCGCAGGGCTACCGAGATTGTGCGCAGGTTTTGGGACCGCATCCTGAGAAGCCAGCTGCAACGGAAAGTATAGCAACGCCTCGCCTGAGTGACTTCGCTTTTGATGAATGCCGCTACAAACGTATTAACAACAACTATGATCTAAGCGCATGCACCTGGCTTGTGCCAAACCCTTAATTGAAAAGGTGCCTCTGCCCAGCTGGTTGATGTCCTTCTAAGTCTAACGGCGAAAATGATCGCCGTCCAAGAAATGCTTGAGAAGAAAGAAGCACGGAAGAAGGTGAATGCCTCTGACACTTACTACAGCAGCCATATGAAGAAGTGCAAGTTTGGTCCATCGCCGAATTCTGACGTCTTGCCTAAATTCACATTAAAGCGCAGTTTTTCAAAATATATCGCTGACTTATTTCCGCCTACGCCCTGACGGTAGAGAAGGATGATGTGACCAAGACCAAGGATGCCTTTCATGAGAGCTCGAGCGTGCTTATGCCATAGTCTCACGATGTGAAAATTGGGCAGGGCGGCTTTAATGACAGGGCACTTCTCCAGTTTGCTCTAAGGTAGGGAAAAAAAACACCAGGAGATGGGGAACTGAATTCCTCAATTCATGACGGCAGAAGAGATGAACTGAAGAACAACAAAGCGGGGGAGGCAGTTGATCAGCTAAGATTTTCAAATACAGGTCCGAAGAACTGACATAGTGTATGCATGCGCTTCTGTACAAAATATGGTCGGATGAAAGCAAACCCGACGATTGCAACCAAAGTATGCTCTGCCTAATCTGAACAGTCAGCTCCGTCAGCATTGGAAAGGATCTCTTCGAGCCGTTCGATATCAAAAATAAAAATCTCGGACAAGGTGAATCCTTATCGTGTGATTTCTTGAATTATTTTTTCAGGAGAACGAGCTGCAGAGCTGAATAGCGAAAATCGAATCTTCTATAAGAGTATCCAGCTGCTGGTGTACGCTGATGATATTGACATTATTGACCTCAAACAAGCTGTGGTTCTGCTTTCTCCACACTGTATAAGGAAGTGAAGCGTATGGGTCTGGTAGTGAGCAAAGCCAAGACGAAATATATTCCGACATCAAACAAAAGGTTATAATTTCGAGGCCGTAGATAATTTCGTCTTTCTCTAAACCAGTATCTCGACGAACAAGAACCAAACTGTACAATTCGCTCGTCATTACTGTGCGGGGGAGGCGTGAATACCGCAACCGCTGGAACTATGCGCTCAACGCGATTTACGGCATATTTGTGGCACATCTGTAGATCATAAAATCAAGAGACGTTGGCCTGGTCATGCGGTACGAATGAAAGAAAACACTCTGGCTTTGAAGGTTTTCGTTGCAGTACCCGCCGGTAGAAGCACAGGAAAAGAAAGACCACCACTGTGTTGGAACGAACAGCTGCAGAAGCGCCTGGTTTGTGTCAAACAGCGAAGAGAAGTAAGGAATGGGCCCTGTTGTTAACTGGGCTATAATGCAGAAGTGTTGTCTATGCCAGTAAAAAAGAAGGAGAAGAATATAAGTTTCATATGGTGAGTGTTGACTGGGATTTCACTGGCAATAACATTTTCTAAAAGGAGTAAAGATTCCAGTTCGACATTTCCTTTAGGGTCCTTACATACATGATTCCCATATGGTAAATTACGTGTGCAAATAACAATAAATATTCCACAGAATATTTAATCCTCTTTTTACCGCTTTTTTCTGATTAAAA